TTTCCAACACCCCGGGCGGGCCCCCGGGTTAAAAAACCAGAAATCACTCACCTGTGCCCTCCGCACGAAGACCCACTCCACCAAGCATCCCTGTTCTGATTTTCCTCAGCATGCTTTCGAATCATTAAAATTTACAATGTGTGTTGGTGTGTGTGTTGTGTTGTGTGTGTGTTCGTTTCTCACCCAGGGGAAAAGCTGCAGTACCGCCTCCACCTATTCTTAAGCTGGATTTTGGTATATATGCTGGGTCTCCTGCACCAAACGTCGCCCCATTAATTTTTTCAAAAAAACCCCAATCATTTTTTTGCCTCTTGAATAAAACCGTCTGTTAAAACCCTTTGAGCGAGCTTTATTTTAAATTTAAATTGCTGAATTTCCCCTCTGTGGACCTGCTGGCCATCTCTGCATTCCCGGCTCACGTGATTATCCCAAAAAAAAAATCTGACTGTCAGGTGGCACTTTAACCCACTCCTCTCCTCCCCTAATTTTTCTCAAGGATGACTGGGGTGTCTCTGGTGCAATCAGAATGACCCGCATAGCCGCGTTCTGTATGCGCTTTAGTTTGTCCATCTGACTCTTTGAGACCCTGAAAAAGATCATATTTTAAGTAAAAACAGTAAAGAGACTGAAATAGTTTAAAACTAAAAATTTAGTTACATTTTGCATTTTTAGAAGTTTGTCACTCACACTATTGTGCCTATTGTTCCGCATTGTGCAGCTGTGCATCTTACACACAGACTAAATACGGCCTTGTATGTGCGTGTGCGTGTGTGTATACGAAACAATGTATCTCCGTATATCCAATAGGCAGTTGGGGGATTTTCTTTACTTACTTTTACCTTGTTTAATTATGTTCTAAACACCTGACGAGACGATATGTTAGACGTTAAATCGTGAAATTGATCTTTCTTTGTTTAAATTTACAATGGGAAACGCCGTATGGATACTTTGAAATTTACGATTCAAGGGACACCGCGCATGCAATGATAATCGCTGTTGAACTTTATACACTAACACAGCGACTTTGTCAGGAGCTCTGTGTTGTTTGAGCCAGGGCTCCCGAAGTTGGTACGTTCGTACACATTTGGTACTATTTGACCTTCGCCAAGCAAAATTGTACTTTTGGTACACACTGATGTTTTGGTACGTTTTAAAAATAGTGCATAAATATTTTAAAGTTTGAGATAGTGTTAAGATAGACCAACTGCCTCCTTATCAATCACGTTGTAAAGGGCGACAAACAAGGATCTAAATTTCGATGTCAAGTGAATCTATCTAAGTGGCGAGTAAACAAAAACCGCCAAAAAGTCTGTTAAACACACACATTATATATATATATATATATATATATATATATATATATAATATATATATATATGTATATATATACACACACATATATATATATATATATATATATATATATATATATATATATATATATATATATATATTAAAATTTCGTACCTTTTAGTGGTTTGGGAACTTTTTTTTTGTTTTTAAATATCCAGAAACCATAAGTTGTAAACAGTTTAGCTCGGTACTATGGATACCGTAACCCTTCAGCCTTGATTCTATGATATATACAGTAAATCTGTGAGAAATGTGGAGTTCATCACCCGGTCTCCGTGCAGTCAGGTTTAACTAATTAAGCTAGCTAGCCGGGCTTTGGTACATTAATAAAAATTAGTACTATTCCCCTAAAATTTCGGCAGCCCTGGTTGGAGCCGTTATTGCCCGTTATTCATCGTTGTCTAGCTTCGAATCCCCCAGCCAGGTACACAGCGTTCTCAATATTTTTGGTAAAATTGAAGTAATTAGTTCTCATGTGCTTGTATGTTTGAAACATCTGTTATAAGAATGCAATGGAACGTATTTGCTAGATGCAGTTTCTTTCACTTTTCAAACAAGAAGATGAAGAAACAATCTGCAGTCAGTGGATAATCTAGGCCTCACAAAATAATTAAATTTTAAATGAGGGCCTACTTTATGATCTCATTATATGTCGCCACGTTATTTATTAACAGTAATATTAATTATGTCTCTGTGTGAATTATTTCCCAGACAGCTACAGTTATTGAGAGATAGTTGTAAAAGACTTGATTAATTGCAAGAACAACAAAAAATGTATGCTTAGTGATATGCTGACATATCTAACTGTATTATTCATAGTTGCAACCAAATACACTCTTCACATGGAACAACCCAGGCCTCTAAGTTTAAGCTCTCCTTTATTTCTGCAGATGTGTATGTACATATGCAATTTGAATATAGACAACACATTATGTATTAATCACATACTAAACTTACATAGCAGAGAATCAGAAGCGTTGCATTTAAAAAAGTGTGTATAAAGTAACCTCTACTGAACCCCACAAACTGAGGTCATATCACTGTAACCCAAATTCCTTGTGTGGGAACAGGGAAATGAGGGTTCATAACTGCTAGAATTTTTAATCTATAGACATTGGCTTCAAGGTCTATGTGAGTGTGTATGTGTATGCCTGAGTGAGAGTGTGTGCTAGCTCTTGTATGGGCATGAGGAAATGTCTGTCACAGACACCAGCCTTTCAACCCTGAATAGCTTTGTCTGTTAACTCTTTACGGATGTTTAGCCAGTATGCTGGCGATTAAGTCTATCCCTTAAAGACGTAAGCCAGTTTACTGGCTCATGACAGACCCTGTAATTTTGTTCCGTTTGTAGGGGAAACAAACTTTTATGAACAAGTTTTTTAACAATTAGGATTAACAACAGGATGTACTTTCATTTGCGATGTTCATCGTGGTTGGTGCATTATTTTGTGATTTAAAAAAAATTATTCAGATGGGATACAATTTGTAAGTGATTTTTCTATACTAAATGATAAGGGAAAAGGTCTAGAACTGTTCATACTGCTCTATTGTTGATGAATCCCTGCCAGATGGTGACAACAGTCTTGATATTATGATTGATATCTAAGTGACAAATCTATTAGCGATAATTTAGTTTAGGATATGACAATTTTACAAAATATTTCAATTAGATCAATGTTTTGATCAGCTGTTTTTCCGATTTTTGGTTGTTGTGAAAATTGACATGTCATACAAAAATGATTATAATATCCAAAGTATTTAAACTAATAGTTTCAAATAAAGACTAGCTAATACATAATTGAAGAGAGAAGGCATGTGTATTCTTAGAATTGGAAAGCAGTGTTGTTGAACCAGTAAAAAATAAGGTTAGCACACAACTTTTTATGTCAAAAATTTTCATATGTGTCTAACATGCTTGAATGTTGTAAGATTTTAATAATATTTGGATGTTCTACTGACATTTAAGTAGTTTAGATTTATTCTGCACTCATTTATCTTTAATTTGATATATTATAAGTCCCGATACAGCCCATACATTTTCTTCAGGAAGGTTTTAGCTTTGTCGTGTTGCACTAAAAAAATTCCTCTTAAAATTAATGCTGTCCAAACCCCAGAAAAAATGCCGTCCTGAAAGAGTTAACTCTATGAGTCCCAGGGGGTTTAGAGATGTAAAATCAGCACATCTTGCGTTCATTTGGCCTCTAGGCGGGAACCTATGAACGTATGATGCGTTCTTTGGAACTCAAAGAGTTAAAAGTGGGGTATTTAAATAACCAAAGCAGACATTAAAGGTCTTTTTTTTTTCACAAATTACATATCACCATTGACATAGGTATCCATACAAACTCTTGAACATCACTTATATTTATGAATGTGCTATATAACATCACCATTTAGCAAACACTGGAATTCCCCCATATCATGTGGTGTCATTTCCTGAGCACCTGAAGTCAGTATAAAATAGTCTCCAATATTATGCTTGAAAGGCATATGTGCAGTGTGGTGATGTGAAGTCAGAAAATGTGTTTAGTTGTTATTCAACTTCTAACTACTAACCAACAAAAAGATGTCAGACAGTAGTAAAAACAAAAATTGAAGTGCTATGTAGAACTTGGGTATGTGAGACACGGACAGTAATCAGAGAAACCTATTTGGTAGTGAAAATAGGGAAATATGACTTTTGAGAAAAAATGCAAGTAGTATAGATGAAAACAGAAGTAAGGCAACCCTCCTCAAAACAACTGGCAGAACTGCTAGAAAAAAAAAGCAAGAAGAAGACAGAAAGATAAATCTGGTAGTCTGGTATCTAGTAGTCTCAGTTTCAGCTTCATAGCAAACGGGTCACCCCAACTTTGCTCTGCTCCTATGCCAACGAAAAACACACAGAATGTTTATCACAGTCCTTTGTGGAAAGATTGACAGACTGCTGTCTCAGCATATCTAGCATACACACATATTAAAGCATACGGTAGCCATCTGAAGTGCTAACACAAACATTCCGACATTAGAAATGCAGTTCATCACTGATGGTAGCCGAAGTCACCAACAGATCAGCAGTTGCATACACGATCAATTTTAATCAAAAAATGGCACTACCAACATTGCGACAACAGGCATCGCACCATTTTCTGAATCTACAATACACACCACCACGTTGGTCACAGCCGAAAAAACATTTCAAATGAAATCCGCAGGTGACAGTGTCATGCCATGCATTCAACTCAGAAGCTGGGTGACGAAACTATATTCAGTCTACAAATGGAGCAAAAATGCATCGACCACCGTCCAGCAGAAGCAAAAAATTTGCCTCGGCTCTAAACATTGCCCCTGCCTAGTGTCCATTTTGACCGGAAGTTCAAAAATAAGTGTGAAGCTGCAGGCGCTGTGATATCTGACAGACTTTCATGTCACCTGTCTTCTGTCACACTGAAAATATGAAGGGGCTTCAAATGAAACTGTAGCAAAAAGATAAATACCTTTATCATTTGAACACATAAATGAGACATAGACAAGATCACTGACTAGATCTGTGATTCTGTTGATAATTTGCAAAGAATATTTATGTTTAACAAAAGGGGACATAATAATGGTGATATTTACATTAATATATTGTTTATTCTGTTTTTTTACCTTGATACAAAGGGCTTAAAACGCACACCTTGAAAATGTGATAGAAATTGCACTAACTATGCGGTTGTCTTGTAACCTGTCAATATTATTGTTAAGGATGTCAATAATGTTAAGCACATGACATGACAGTGCAGGAGAATAAGATGACATCTATAGATATTCATTGGTGAATAAAGATCCAGTGTGATAATGCATGCCTATCAGTTCAACAAGTGTATGAGTGGAGTAGGAGGTTTTTAAATGTCTTAACTTCTGTGACAAACTGATCATGAGTGGGTCAGGCACTCCGGGTAGTGGCTGCAGCCATTTCAAAACTTTCTCCTCCACTAATACACTTGCTAAAGTTTCATTTAAAGCCCCTTCATATTTTCAGTGTGACAGAAGACAAGCGACATGAAGGTTCGTCAGATATCACAGCGCCTGCAGCTTCACACTGCACTCATGCGTGATGAGTGGCGGTGGTCGGTGGATCCTAGAACTGTATTGGTGCTGTTTTTTCCTTGGCTGGGAGCTCAAGAAAAGCATTCAGCAAAATACAGGGAGTTATACATAAATCTAGGATTAGATGTTCTGACTGTGAAATCCTTACCTACAGACTTCTTATGGCCTCCAAACTCAGTGAAAGTAGCTAAACATATTCTGAAGGTAAGAGACATTGATCTGTTGTTTGCTTGTGAAACCTTTAAATTACAATTTTTAAACTCTTGAGTCTGATGCGTTAGTGTTCAAGTCACTAAAGCCCTGAACATGACGTGCATCATTTCAAGTGAGGTTTGTATATGGACATTTTTCCTGGCTCAGTATCAAGTAAATAAATCAGAGAAATATCTAGAGAAAGGTTGGTATTTATTCTTGGGCACATTCTGAAGTGAAGCAGACACAAAATCTCTATTACAGACGTTAGTGAGAACAGCCAGAAGTGCTGAACTGGATTTTATACACATTATCATAAGAATTACACAGGATACAAATAAATGCAGGCTGTTGGCTGTATATGTTGTATAAATAGCTCACTAGCATGATGATGATGATGATGATTACCAAAGTTCCATCTCCGTGGGGAATATTGCAGAGCTATCCACCCCTCTCCAGGCTAAACAACCAGCAGGGTATCCAAGACCAAGAGTTTAAATGCTTATGATAAATACATGTTAGTGAGAATGGACCTGGATTGAGGCAGTCACAGCAGCTTTCCACTAGCTTGAGACTAGCTGTATACACGTGTTGTGATTTAACAGACTCACAAACTGCTGCTGTTGAGACTGGTATGCTTCATGCAAAGCTACAAACAATGCTTCATAGATTCTGGGTAGTTAATGTCTTTTGGATATCTTCTCTAGGGCATGCTGCTAAATCAGGAAATGAACAAGCAGACAGATTAGCTGGTTCTGTATCACTTGGTGGTAAATTGATGTATGACAAGCTAGATTTGGTCAAGGCTATTAAGGAGTGACACTCAAAGAGAATGGTGCAGCGGGGATTACCAGGGGATTAGGCTGACCCTCAACATGAAGAGGAAAGGCAGGAGGACATAAAATCAGGCCACTAACTAACAACACTAGAATTAGATCTCTGCACTGGCTACTCAAGATGTGGGCAGAGCACTAACTAATAACACTGGAATTAGATCTCTGCACTGGCTACTGAAGATGTGGACAGAGCACTAATAGTATGTCTAAAATACTGTGATGTCACTTCTGAACTCAGTGATAGATAGTTCTTTTGTAATCTGAGGTAATTTGTATAATTTTAACAATAGATTCTTCTTCTGTAATCTTTTATATATTTTGTTTCATTTTGTAAGAAGGCTTGACCTTTACATCTGTGGAGAGGTAATGAAGGTGTTATTTTTCAGCAGTAGTTACTTCTTTTGTAATGTTAGTTTTTACGTGTCATTTTTGTATTCAGCAGTTTCTTCTTCTGCTGAAATCTCATATGTTTTGTTTCATTTTTTAATGATAAATAGTTCTTCTATAATAGCACGTGTCATTTTAAATTCAATTTTGTGTGTGTGGTATATCTTTTTCTTCTGTTTTGGCCCCCTCAAAGAGTGAATGGCAGTTGTTTTATAGTTTAAAGCCAGGCTGCAGTATCTGTGCCTTTTAGCTTAAAACATCCGATTATGAACATTCTGGTTTGACATTTTTTTCATTGAACATTTTTAGTGATTGTTTCTAATTATTGTTGCAGCTATGTGATGTACTGCTTTTTTTCAACAGCTGATTTTAGTCAATCAGTAAATGAGGTTGCCTCATTGTGGTATCAGCGTATTACTGAAAATATATCTTGATTTTTTTTCTTATAGGTTCTTGATGAGGAGCTGAAAGATTATGATCACCTTATCTTCCACACAATGTCCATTGGATCTTACAACTTGACTGTGCTGAATATGACTGCAAAGGAGATGAACACTAGACAGGAATTCCTGGAAAAATGTCGAGGAATTATTTTTGATAGCATTGTGATTGGGAGCAACACCATAGGAATTATGAAGACCACTGATACCAGTGGAAACAAAGGGGATAATACTGGTGCTCAGTCTGATCAAGCAATTGACCGAATAATTAAAGGTATGGCCTCGGTCGTTAGCAACAACTCTTTCTTTCAAGTAGTTATAACTCTCATGGCTAAAATATATTTCACAATCACCAAGAAGTGGACTTTAGACTTTTATACAAATGCCTTAGATAAGGCACGTGATGATCCTTTGAAAGTTCCAACCCTTGTTCTGGCATCAAAAGATGACCCTATGAGTGATGCAGTGATCTTGGAAAAGCTTGTGGAATTATGGCAATCAGAGCACAATTTACCTGTAACCTTATGTTTATGGGACAGTTCCAAGCATGCTCAACATTTGGTTTATCACAGAGAAGACTATGACGCTGCACAGAGTAAATTCTTCTCTCAAGTATTTCGAAATATACCGGAAAGTTCTTCAGCAATTAAAAAGTCAAAATTGTAGAAATGTGTAACTCTTTCTGGTCATTTCTGTAAGAGCAGTATTCGAAACATTTGTATTTGCAATTGTATTCAATGTAATTATGTTATATATGTAACATTATAATAATGGATAATTTATATAGCTTTGATTATATATCAGAGGCACCAGAACCGGTGAAGAGGGGTGGGGGCACTGAGGCTCCTTGAGGCCTGCAGACAAATGTTTTGTTTAAGTAATTGTTTATGCATTTAATATTTTTTTTTGAAATTTATTAGTATATTTATTTGCCATTCAGCATTTTATTATTAATATTATTCTTACACACTGAAACAAGGCTTAGGACTCCCCTGAAGCAGTTAGTGATAGTTTTTTTTTTTTAACACACTGGCAGAGGTGGCAAGATAATTTCTTTTTAGGTACAGGGTGGAAGTGGAAAGATAATTATTTTTACTGGATGGAGAAGGTTGAGAAAGTTTTTTTTCTCACCTGGTGGAGAAGGTGAAACGATAGTTTCCTGAACAGAGCGGAGGTGGTTGTACATAGTAGAGGATGTGGCCTCATGCTCAGCTTTCCTTCTTTTGCATCTGGGCTTAGGATGTTAAAGATATTTTATAAAGATAATAATTGTTATGTTAACATAGCTTATAAAGATAATAATTGTTATGTTAACATAGCTTATAAAGATAATAATTGTTGTGTTAACATAGCTTATAAAGATAATAATTGTTGTGTTAACATAGCTTATAAAAATAATGCTAGAAAGAGGGGGGAACATTCTCAAACTGCAACATACATTAATATGTTTAAGATGAAACAGTTTTGAGAAACCTGTACAGTGTCAACGCAGTCTGTAAGAGGCAGTAACATGGTCTGATTAGTCATACATAACATTTACTTTTTCAGGTGTCCAGTCTAAAGACATTGATGATCCTGACTATCATTCTTCCCTATAATCTTGCATGTTGATGAAGTTGGTGTTACTAGTTTATTCATTAGCTATTTAAACTTTCTGTATACATCATTGTTCTCTTTTACATCTCTTGCCTGGTGTTTCCCCACATATAAACCTAATATCTGAATTCCATTTCTTCTGCCTACATGCTCCCATGAATTTCTTATGGCTTTTCTAATTGTTTTGATAAGCAATCTTGCAATATTGTTAGGTCTTTGTACACCACTTCATATTTCTTCTGGTTCACTAAATTCTTCTCTTTCTCCAGTTGCTTCATTGAAGCATGTGGTGAGATTATGTATGCTCATTCTAATTTGTTGCATAAGTTGGTCTTCATATCTTTAGGCCCCAGTGTGGGTTCCAGGGCCCCATTGAGGTGAAAACAAGAATAGACTCACTGCCTTCCCAACAAGCTATTTGTAAGAGTCGACAAACTTGGGGCTTCCTTTGAAGTTGGAGTGCATCTGCCTGAGGGGCAAGGAACCAACAATCTGCATACAAATAAGTCAGATTTGTAAAACAGGAGCACACGCAAAACTCAGGTCCTGGAACAAAGGCAGTCTAAAAATGGACAAACAACCAGGTCTTTCCACCGGAGTTCAAAGCAGATGGACGCAAACAACAAACAACGACATTTCTTTAGATTCTCCATGTGAATCCAAGGGCCGTATGGGGGCGGGGGGGGGGGGGGGGGGGGGGGGGGGGGGGGGGGGGGTGAGAATAGACCCTTTGCCCTCCTGAAAGCATGTCATAAAAGGCTACTCATTAGGGATGTTTCCCTCAAAGTAGGAGTGCAATTGGGTACCAACTGTTTGTATATAAATAAGCCAGATATAAGAAACAAACAGATATGCATGCAAAACTAAAATTCTGGAACAAGATCAAAATCCAAAAGTAGAGACTAACAAACAGAACTTTCTCCTGGAGTTATCGCTGGTGAATGCTAAGAAGTAGAAGAAGGTTTATTTAAGTTGTTCATGGTCCTGTGTCCTCATCTTTGGCATGTTCTTTTTTCTTGCTCCATGCTCATGCTATTTTTAATGTGACTCTCCGTAGTGGTTGATGCTAACACGTTAAAAAAGATCATAATAATACAGCTGAAATGCAGCAAGTTTTTATTTTACAACAAAGTGACAAGGGAGTGTTGAGGAATAATATTAGAATACTGCTACAACAAATAATTGTGTTAGTAATTAAATATTATTAATCAAACAGATGACATGTGTAGAGAAGTTAGTTAAATGAAACAACAAATTTGTCCATTTTCTGTCAAGGTAAGGTGATCTAGGAAAACTCAATAAAATATATCTAAATCAAATCACAAATGATGTTTTTTTTTTTAAAGCACAAACTAATGTATTAATAAAATATAAGTGCAATCTTTGCATTAGGTCTTGTTCCAGATAAACTTTTGGAAATCATCACAAAGCACCATTATTTGGTACACAAAAACAATCTTCACACAAAATGAACTTTATAAAAGACTCAAATTGCCCGCAGTTTTTTAAGATATGTTGTTAAATAATAAGAGGAATAACATCAGAACAAAATAACACTGAAGAAAATTCCTTTTCACTAGTATTTATTATATTTTTGCCATCTTTGTCTTTGAAAGCTTTACATGAGGTACGTAATAGAGCTATCTCTTATCAAAGCTTGCCTATATAAATGACTGAATCAGTTATTCTTTCTTCATCTAACTTCACATAAAATCAGGTCAAAAAGCTATTTTGAGGTGTCCAAAGCTGTAAATCATGTTAGTAGAACAAAAAGTAACTTGATAAAGCTACCAAACATTTACCGGAAATACCATTCAGAGTTCTTCTTGGTAGCAATCTATGAATCTAGGATGAGCTCCTTGGGACCTAAAGACTCATTTCAGTCCTTGAATTTGTCAAATTTCTCTGTATTCTCACTATTTTCTCCACAATTCATGATCCACGTTTAGCATACCCAGCCTTTCAGAAGAAGAAGCCAGCACAACCTTTCATTAGCACATTCATGACATTGCTTATGCTCGTAAAAGAATCTTTACTCTTCATATAACTTGTTCTAATTATTTTATCTATTATTGTGGGAAAAAAGCAATTACTGAAAACTAGTTCATAATCATCATGATCATCTTGTGCCATGCCAGGAAGTCTAGGCTGTCATTTTTTGGGCCATCTCACACAGTCACCAGAATCACGGACCACTTCCATGTGTTTTTCCTTGCTTCAGCCATGTGGCCAGGCCATCCAGGTATTTATCTCTTTGCCTTCCTCTTGCTCTCTTTCCATCAGTCTTGCCAGTTGTTACCAAGTTCTCGAGTTTATTCCTTCTCATAACATTGACTGTCTACGCCAAGTTGTTCTAATAAGTTTATGACTTTTTGTCTCCATCAGGACTGCTTCATTTGTTTTTCTATCCTTCTATGATATTCTTTGCTTTCTTTTCAGAAACCACATCTTTACCTCCAGTAAATGTTTTTTTTCCCCCCAGCTTTTTTGCTTATTGTCCATGTTCAACATGCATATAAAAGATAGGTTTTACACAGCACTTAACACTCCTTTTCTTACTACAATTAACTCCTTGTGTGGGTTCCGAGGCCCTTTTATAGGTAAAACAAGAATAGACCCACTGCCTACCCAAAAGCATGCCGTAAGAGTTGTTTAATTGGGAGCTTCCTTCGAAGTCGGAGTGCATCTGCCTGAGAGTTAAGGAACCAAGAGTCTGCATACAAATTAGTCACATCTGTCAAATGGATGCACACGCAACACTCAGGTTCTGTAACAGGACTGCAGTCAAGAAGTGGACGAACAACCAGAACTTTCTGCCAGAGTTTACAGCCGGTGAACCTATAGAAATGGAAGAAGAAGACTGCAATTAACATCTTCTTGTTGGTGAGAATCATCTGTATCTTTAAAGGCCACTTTTACCATGGCATTCTTGTTGTCATTTCTGCAAGGCATCACACATCAGATATTGTGCATGTTCTAAGATAGTTATATCCATTGACTTGCTTACAAATGTTACCTTTTGCATATTGTAAATCACACAATATTGTATTTCTTTTTCTTTCTTTTTGGTGATGATCATAATTTAATAATAATAATAATTTAATAGCAGACCTATTTTCTTACTGTGAACTATTACTGCCTTCACTAAATGCTGCAGCTCTTCATTGTCTGCAGTTAACACATTATCATCTGCATATCTTATGTTGTTAAGGTTACATCTTCCCTCGTTAAATCCCTTTATATCTTTCAGATGTTGCATACTATTTTCACTTTATAAGGGGAAAAAGATCTGGAGACATTACACATCCCTGTCACACATCTCTCTTGACTGGTTAGTGCAGACCTACTTTATTATCTATTTTTGTAGTAAATTTGTTGATTTGTAAGCATTTGTATCATGTTAGCATGTCTTGCTCTATCAAAATCAATCAGTTAGTCCGGAGCCATCTCCACAGTGAAGGTTGGCTGCAATGGGTCTCTGACACGCTCTGTCTCTTGTCCTGGTTGTACACTCTCTCAGACTGCTGCCTGTCCTCCCACTTTATCTGTGCCTACCTCTTGCTCTCTGGCCTTTGAACTTTCCCTCCAGTATGGTTTTTAAAAGCGTGTTATGTCTTTATTCCGCTAGAGTATTTAAATTGTATCTTTTTTATTTCCTTCAGTAAGCCTCTTTTCATGTGTAGCCTTTCCAGAACCCTTGTATGAGACTGATTTTGTTTCCCTGAAATACGACATATTTTTTTGTATAATCTGTATACCTGCATCTTCATAGACTGAATTCGATTTTGTAGTTGCTTGTTCATTGTCCATGTTTCTGCACCATATAGCAGGACTGAGCATGCATAATATTTGACGATTCTCATTTTTAATGTGTTGCTTATCAAAAATCTTTGTGTAATCAGTAAAGCAGAGATGAAGGTCTTTATTTACTTCTGTCGAACGTTCTATTATTTTTCTCAGGAAATATGCAGCATTTGTTGGACTCTTGCCTTCTAGGAACCCACATTGCTCTTCATTTATTTCTGGCTTTTTCTCCCAATGATTTTCATTATGATTCTTAGCAACATCTT